ATCAGGTGCTGATCACCAAGGATACCAAAGAGGTGGTCGCCCACACCCTGGTGACGCTGGCTTGTATCAATGCCACTACGGGCAAAATGCAAGCTGTCCCGTCGAAAGCGAAGGAGAGTTTGGGCATGGGCCTCCCTGTATAGGAAGGGTGAGCGAGAGGAGGGGCCGCAAGTGTGGCGTGGGATAATAAGGACTATGCTCCCCGCTTGGGCACCAAGAGAATTGGAGAAGGGTGGTTTACTCAGCTGTGGACATACGTGTATAATTATGCATGTAATTTGTACGTTTGTGTGTTTTTGTGTGGACGTGAATGGGGTGACTGCGTGCCTCGGTACGCATCCAGTAGAGGGATAATTCGGGCTCCTCGAGAAAATCGTGACATGTCTCGATGTTGTATCACTTCCACGGGCATTTGATCTCAGTGCTTCCAATTTGGCACGTCTGGGAGTTAATCACCTCGTTGAAGTCAGTTCTGCTTACAAAGATGGGCTGACTTCTTTTCTTTCTGATCAGTACAAGAGGTGATACGAAGAGCATGCATCAACGTTATCGTCACTAAAATCTAATGGTGTAATATACGACATTGTAAAGCTTTGGTGAACCATTTTAGGGATCCAGACACTAATTTTTACGCTATCGATGTCTTCAGGCTTCTGGTCTGACAGCGTTCAGAACCAAATCCACATTTGCACCGCGTTGAACTAGAATTGTCTGTAGCTATTGATGTTGTAGCATAGACATCGTAAATCGTAGAAACAGACATACAAAAAGGTAAAATTTAGGAGCAGCTTCGTATCCACTGTGAAAGCCGTGATGAATTGATGGCGAACCCCGACAATGCACACCAACACTCTTTCCTATTTGTTCAAAAGCTCCTCAATGCACCATGATACGTCCATCTCCCGCGTCCGAAATTACAGTCAGTCCGCGCATTTTTCCCTCGGTTCCTCTTGGCCAGAGTTGAAGATTGCCGGAGAAATCTACCCGGAGGTACAAATCCGTTCCAAGCAGAAAACTGGCAGGAAAATGCCAACAAGTTGTGACAAACCCATCTTATCCCCACAAGTTTCTCCCTCTGACCTCCGTATTCACACGAGCCCTTTCCATTTTCTAATTTCGAAATTTTAATTGGTTTTCTGGAGACGTGGCGATGGGGAAGAGGAAGACCTTGGTCCGGGCAATCACTACACAAACAGATTTGGAAGCTTTTCAGAATAGTCAGGTAAGTACCAGTTACGCCAAGTAAGCTTAGCACATCACATGGAGCTTTAGAGCAAAGAAACGAGGGCGAATGCTCACGAACATTGCCTTGTGGTGCGTGTATAGATCGTAGAAAGTGCTGAGAAAATTTTGTTCAGTTCTACTTGGTTCATCTCCTCAGCTGCTTTCTCCGCCTTCACTCGGCGCTTTTCTAAACCGTTGCCTTTTTCAAATAATTGCACCTTCAAGACATATGCTGACTTCCTCGCCTTCATTCGGGCGTGCAACCAGAGCGTTCGTGGCATCGCAATCAGCCAGGACTATCCCAACAAGAACGGGTAAAAGAGAGTGGCAAGAGGAAAAGGAGGAGGGAATGACTGTAAAGGGAAGGTGCCGTCCCCGGGAGAGATAGGGGTCCATCTTGAACGTTTGATCTAGCGAATACAAGGCTTTCTGGAGAAAAATGCGGGGAGCCACGGCACCTAATCCGATTCTTTCCTTCCTCTTCCCTCCCTCCTTCCCTTCTTGTCTCCCACCCTCCCTTCCTTCACCCCCTCCCCCATGCCCTTAACTCCACTCTTCCGGCATTAATTGTCCCTGAACCACTCTAGTCCTGTAGTGTCTGCGTTGGTCGCGTACCTGGAAGAAGCGTGGGGTTGGGTGGACGACATCCCGGCGCTGCAGCAGGTACCGGGAGAGGGCGAGGACAAGCGGAGGAGGGAGGGGGGGAGGGAGGGAAGGAGGGCAGGAGGGAGGGTGAGAGGATGAGGAGGAAGGCCATCGTGATTGTGAACAAGGAAGGGGAGAAACATGGCGATAGGCGAGAAGGCGTTTCGCCTGCTTGCATCCTCTTCCTCCC